CGCACGCACACAGGGCAAAACATAAGTCCCCGTTTTCGGACTACGTCCGAACGGGGACTAACAAAGAGGTGCTAATTTTACAAAATTGACTTGTATTGTTCAAAGCCGCTACCACATCACGCGACTATGTCTATTGTTTACAAATTATTATCCACGACTGGCAGGATGCGTGTCGGTCGGTGCGCAAGTATAATAACAATATGACAATAGTCGGAAGCGTTTCCGCGGTGGTCGCCAATTTTGAGTGCCGGTCAGGCCGACCAGCGTGACGAGATCCCCCAATGAAAAGAAACACTGTGGCGGTCTTGCTAATCACCGTGGCGGTGTCAGACCGGTGTGGCGGCAAATCGAAGCACTGTGGCGGGACCGCCACGCTGTTTACATCCTGGGGAGAACACTGGGAGTATCATAATATGGTAGGATGAAAATTCCAGATGTATAATAGTAATTATTGAGAAATGCAGGGAGTTTGAGAAGTCAGATATAAACCAACAGGACATTGAATACAATTCTTTTGTTTTTGTGAACTTTTTGTTGCATGCAAGGCAGATGGCATACAATATTGTAATAAAGTAAGAGACTATAAAATGATATTATAAATCTTACATTTTAAATATCTCTTCCTCATCATCCTCCATGGTATCTATGTGCACTGGAGCTAATTTCACCACAGGTTCAAAATGAACATCGGGACTACTGGGAGCGAATTCCTCTTCATGCTACAAACAAATAATGCAAGGTTTAGAATCATTGTTACAAAGAAATGTTGCTACTTATTTAGCTAAAATGTAAGTAAGTAAGGTACTATAAACTGGTTTATTTTTAACGATAGGGAAAAGTAGGTGAAAATCACAACATTTTGTACAGCAGTGATAGAATAGCTGTGGTTCACAGCCACTTTGGTTGGCAGTCATTTTCATTGCATTTGGTGTACTGTATATAAATCAACCATTTGCTGGATTTTATTTTCGTTTATTTCGCAGATATCTGAATTCACCCAATTAGAACCCAGTGAATATGCTAAGTGAGCAATAGAATCAATTGTTTCCTCCTTCACAACCAGAGAATTTAAAAACAGACAATTGTGTCTTTGTTAAAACATTAGTGGCGAATACATCTGCAAAATGAAATCTACTAAAATACGAAGTGAATACTTTTCTATACAGTACAAAGTGCGACTTGCAACAAAATAGGATAACGAACACGTCAGATAAAAGAAAGTTGAAAATCCTTGCAAGGAACCCACTGAAAGATCAATTCATAAAAAAAATTTGCAGTAAAAAAATTGAACAGTTTAGTTTTTAATAGAAAAAGTTAAATAGGACAGGAAACAACTATTGTGACCTAGGAAGTCGGATCATAAAGT